TACAGTATCTCGATAATTTTTATATTCATTATATGTTGAAGTGAAAATATTTTAGATATATTGAGTTAAATAAAAGTATCATTAAAATTCAATAAAAAGACAGCCTAGAAAACCCAATGGAGCAGTTCTGCTCTGTCACATGGGGTTGCTATGAGTCAAAATAAACTCTACAGCACCTAACAACATACATATCTGCACAATCTAAAGAATAATTACAGAATGAGTATCTGTATAGTTGCCATTTATTGAAAAGACCATCCTGTCTTTATTGCTTTGTAGTACCACATTTGTCATTAATCACCTATCGGTACACACAGGGCTCCGTTTCTGAATTCTATTCTGTTCTTAATTATTGCTGCTTTATAGCAACCTTAATATCTGATACGGCAAGTCCTCCCATCTTCTTTTTCAATGGATTTTGACTTTTCTAGGTCCTTTGTACTTTGATATACATTTTAGAATCAGTTTGACAAGGTCATGGAAAAATCTGTTGAGATTTTGATTGGGGTTGTGTTGAATCTCTAGGTCACTTTGGGAAGAATTGACATCTTCACAGCATTGAATATTTCAATCCATAAATGTAACATATTTCTCCATTTATTTAGGCTCCCTTTAATTACTGGATAACTTTTGGTAATTTTTTAAAATGGAGATCCTACATATTAGCTTATTCCTATGTACCTCAAATTTTGAATGTTGTTAGGAAATTTTTTTTTTTCATATTTTATTTTCTGTTTGGTGCTGGCATACATTTGGTAAATATTTAAGCTGTGGCTTTTCTGTTGCCAGGTCCTAGTCCATAAATGTCCCATCTGTACTCCTGCTCACCCTCTCATCTGCCCTGTTATTGCCCCACCCTCTGACCTTAATTCCTCCAAAGCTGGGGAAAGAGAGGGGGGCTGTATACAGATTGTCCTTCAATCTCCAAAGGAGGATGTCGGAATCTGAAGGCGGGAAAGGTGAGAGAAGCTTTCCACCCCCTGCAGACCCTTAGAAAAAGCCTGGGCTTTTCTCTACCCTCAGCACCTCTGCCCCACCCATAAGGACCCCAACTTCAGAAAGCCTGTGGAGAACAAGAATCTTACCATCCTGTTCCCATCCAAGCCAGCCCCAAACACAGCACCACCCCAACCTGGGCCCTAATTAATGCTCAGACTATCCCAGACACTGTTCCCATGGCTTCTAGGCCCCATGTTGTTGTTGTTGTTAGGTGCCCTCGATACACATCCTTAATTCCCAACTAAAACCTAGCCCCAATCCTGGTCCTGACCCTTATCCTAGCACCCTCCCCTTATCCTAGCACCCTCCCTTTATCCTAGCACCCTTCCCACCTCCAACTCCAAAGCCTAACAAACTCTACTCAAACCCTGGGCCAACCCCAATCTGGATAAAGACCTGACAATGAGCTTTCAAATCACCTAAACTCAACCCCAATCCCTGAACGCCAATTCTGTTAGTGAGTGGGTCTCTGACTTTTCCAGAAAGAGCACAGGCCCATTTTTAATAGAGAGAGAACACATACTTGATAATGTGGTAAATCTTAAGGTCTCTGGAGTCAGAGTGCCTGGCTTGACTCCTAATTCAGCAACCTCATCAAGTCACTTAACCTCTTTTGACTAAACTTCCTCATTTACAAAATGAGGATAATACCATGTGCCCGCCAATCTTCTAAGTGCTTTAACTCATTTAATCTTCACAACAACTCTATGAGGTAGGTGTTTGACTGCTAACCAAAAGGCTGGCGGTTCAAACCAGCCACTCCTCGGAAGGAAGGTTGGGCAATCTACTTCCGTAGTGATATGAGTCAGGTCCCACTCACGGCACATAACAACAACAACAGCCACTCCTCGGAATGAAGATTGGGCAATCCAATCTACTTCCGTAGAGATACCACCTCGGAAACCCAAGGAGGGATCACTATGAGTCAGATCCGACTGGATGGCAGTGAGTTTGGTTTTTTTGTTTTTGTTTTTTTCTTTTTTAGTATACAGAAAGGGAAATTGAGGCACAGAGAGGTTATTATAATTTGCCCAAGGTCATACATAGCTACCAAGTGATAGTGTCAGGATTTGAACCCAGACAGCTTGTTTCCTCCAAAACTAGGGATCTTAACCAGGACTGCATCTCAGAGGTTGAAATAGGACATCGGAGTTGTGAATGGCTTTAGTTGAAAACCCCAATACCAAACTCAAATCCCACTCAAAACTTACCTTCTATCCTAACCAACCTTGATCTTAATTCTAATCCTAACTCAATTCAAATTCCCAGTCCTAATCCTAAATCAAACCTCAATCCCACTCCACTTCCACCTGTATTTAAACCCAACCCCACCTCAACCCAAAATCTACCCCTCAAACATAACCTTAAACTTGACTCCAACTATAAACTTTATCCCACACTATGCAGCATAGTGCCTAAGGCATTTGACTGCTAACCAGAAGGCTGGAGGTTCAAACCCACCAGCCACTCCTCGGAAGGAAGGTTGGCAATCTACTTCCGTAGTGATACGACCTCAGAAACCTAAGGAGGGGTTGCTATGAGTCAGATTCAACTCGATGGCAGTGAGTTTGGTTGTTATTTTGGTTATGCCAATTTTAACTCTACCTCCAACTCTAACACCAAACCCTACTTCATTTGGAGATTTATTCCCATCCTCATTCCCATATAAACTCTCACTCTATCCATAACCTTAATCCCAACAGAATTTCTTACTCCTAATCCTTAATCCAGGTCCTCTCCCCTTAATTTCACATGCTCATCTCTCCTTCCCACAAACAAAGGGATGGGATTAGATAGGAGGCAACCAGGATTGCCCAACACCCTGTACCTCCCTGATTAAGTTTCTCCACACAGAAACCACCCTAGAGCCTTGTCCAGCCAATGGAACGGGGCCTGGTCATGAATGGGGGCTCTGCCATGGCCCCCCAGCTGAAGGGGATGAAATCTGCTGGACATCAGATCTGGGCACCCCTCGACGAAGGACCCAGCACAGCAAGCACAAGATGGTGGCAGTGGCCAGTGTACAGAGGTCACCCCGGGCACTCTTCTGCCTCACCTTGGCCAATCCCCTACGGCGGTCCTGCATCAGCATTGTGGAGTGGAAGCATCCTAGAAGGCCAAGGGGAGGGATCAGGATAAGGGTTACCAAGGTACCAAGACCAAGACTCAAGGATGGGGTCAGAGCAGGAATGGTGGAAGATTAAGGTCACCGGGCTAAAGGGTCAAGAACTGGATTAGAGTGGGACTTGAGAAAGGCGAAGGTCACCAGGGAGTTAAAAGTCAAGGACTGAGTTACAACAAGAATTGGAGATGGTTAATGTTTTCAGGGAGGTTAAGTAAAGGCCTTGATCAGGGCAGCAGCTAGGAATGTCAGGGCTGGTCATCTTGGGCTCAAGGGTCAGCAATGGGTGGGGAGGACGCCAAAGGAGGGGGTAGGTCCTACACCACTCTGTCTGGGTCCTTGACTGTGTCTACCTG